AAGAAAGCTAGGACCGATGGAATAATGTGGTAAGCAAAGGTGTCTGCAAGTCAAAAGAGTCAACCGGTACAATTAAAAATTCCACCCATATTTTTTTTTTTTTATGTGTGAGATGCTTTAAAAAAACTGGTGGAACTTAAAATAATAAAAAAAAAACCTAGGCTTCATTTTCTCGTCTTTCTCTAAGTTAATTATTTAATTGCATTATAAAGTGCAAATAATACATTACAGAATACAGATATAATAACAGAATGATGTGGTATTTATACAAGACAGACTGAAAACTGTTAGCACTGCGATGATTAAGATCAATTAAACCTGTAAAGATGAGAAAGAAATTTACATCAATGTTAAATGTGGTTTCTGAGAAATTAACGAACGTCGGGGCTTCTTAAGTTATGCAGTTAATGCTAAATAAGAACTAGATAAAGAGCGGTAAAGGGGTTACAGTGTTTTATAATATGAAAAAAAAAAGATTTAAACAAAAAAAATGGATGAAAGTTTGGTCACACTTGTGTGTGTCTTCTTGATTTGTGAGATTTGGGAGTTTGGGAGAGAGAAGCAACATTCACCACCAGTAAAATAAGTTTAAAAACACCAGTGCCGGAATTTGTAACAAAAAAATTTAGAGCACCTGAAACCAAAATAGAAAAACAGAAAATTGTTATTGGCAAAGAACAACATTTAGGAAAGTGTTAGAGAGCGTTTACTCCAGCATGACTAAAAATAAGCCATCTTTTAGGAAATGAGGCTGTGAAAGAGAAACGGAGTCGTTCGATTCTTAATCGAAAAGGGAAATTTTTTTTTAAGATTTTGCTTCTTCGGGCCGAACTCTTTTGGAAACCAAAAGCAGCAAATGTTTTATAAAAACGCCAGATGAGAGAACGTGAAAAGGTGGGCTTATGTTTTAGGCGGAAATTGAAATTGAAAGTAAATCCAACAAGGCAAGGCCCTTCTACCCCACACCGGTAGGATCTTTTTGCAAAATGTTTCTCCTCTTACAAATTTTGAAACGTCTCGCCACGTTTATCTTTTGCATTTCTACTAAATCAGGCCAGCTTGAGGAACACATCAACATCAGAAACATCCCGGATCCGGAGCTTCTTCAGGTGCTTGGGGAGCTCTCACCCTCCGCACCCCAAGATTAATCCTGGAGGTCTTGGGGAGCTCTACCCACACCTGCCTGCTCGCCTTCCCTTCTTCTCCCGAGGGGAAAGTTCCGAGCCACTAGAACAGCTGATTTTCGCTGCTCTAGCAGCTTTACGAGATCGCGGGGGTTAGTGCTCCCAAAAGAGCTGCTGCCGACGCCTGCGGTGCCACTGGAAGCCCTATCTTGACAACTTTTAAGACCTGTGTGGACTACAGCTCCCAGAATTCCCCAGCCAGCCAGGAAGTCCACAAGTTTTAAAGTTGTCAAGGTTGGACACTCCATGGAGTTGAAATCCATAAGTCTTAGACCCAAAGGTACTTCCTTAGGTTTTTTTTTCTTGAGAACATTTCACTTCTCATCCAAGAAGCTTCTTCAGTTCTTCTGAAAGTCTAGAATTCCAGCTGAATTTGAAAAAAAAAACACCTTTGGGGCAATCGTGACATGGATGATTTAAGAATCTCCATGGACTTAAGTCTTAAAGTGGCCAAGGTTGGACACCCTTGGGAGTTGAAGTCCACAAGTCTTAAAGGTGCCAAGGTTGGACACCTCTGATCTAGACTTAAAAGGAGGAGAATCTCATGGTGGAAGCATATTGAAAATTGAAGAAAGATTTCTCGTCCCTTTTGGGTGTAACATAGCTTGGAGACTCCTGTAGCTATAACTGCCTGCTGAGCGATTCTCTTTTTGCCCTCCCTTTTTTTTTGTAGAAGTTATGCAAGGCAGGATATGAATTAGACTGGAGGAAGTGACAAGGTCTACAGTCATAACTTTGAGAAGACATCTATCCTTAACAGTCCCGAAAGCTCTTCTTTTCTCAACTCTGAACGCTGCCCTGTTCCACGTGACTTACAACGCCAGTGAAAGGCGAAGGGCTGGTAGTTTTGGCAGCTGCTGCAGAGGTCCCACATGTGAGGTTTCTCCTCCAGAGCCTGCAGCCCAGATCCAAAGTATACCTTGTAAGCGTGAGGACTTGCTCATAAGTCACTTTTATTTTATTTTTATTTTTTTCCCTTGACTGTGGATTCAGAAAGCTCCCGGCACACTTTGGCAAGTTTAAGCAAGATTCTTGGTGATTGGCAGAATGCAAAGCTTACCTGATTTCATTTTGCGGGGCATCAAATTTTTCCCAGCTACCTAAAAACTGAAGGAGGGTAAGATAAATGAACGTGGAAGGGTTTGTAAAGCAAGGTTAATTATCTCTTTTGCGCTGCTGTAAGGGAGTCATTTATGTTTCCCATAATTAATGTACATCAAACTTCTTCTTTTTTTAAACAGCTGGGTTTATCTGAAGCTAAATATGATAAGGAAAATGCTTTAACTGTTTTCAAGTGCTACATAAATTATACGAATAGAGGCGTCTTCTTAATTATCTCTTTAGTGCCCTCTTCCAATAATCTGAAGAATATTCAGTGAATAATATTTCTTCTTCTTCTGATTCTTCTGATTCTGATTCTTCTGATTCTGATTTTTCTGATTCTTCTTCTGATTCTTCTTCCGATTCCTCTTCTTTCTTCTGATTCTTCTGATTCTTCTTCTTCTGATTCTTCTTCTTTCTTCTGATTCTTCTTCTTCTGATTCTTCTTCTTTCTTCTGATTCTTCTGATTCTTCTTCTGATTCTTCTTCTTTCTTCTGATTCTTCTTCTGATTCTTCTTCTTTCTTCTGATTCTTCTTCTTCTTCTTCTTCTTTCTTCTGATTCTTCTGATTTTTCTTTTGATTCTTCTGATTCTTTTTCCTCCTCCCCCTCCTTCTCCTCCTCCTCCCATGCTGACAAGAACTCAAGCCGCAAATCTCAAGATGTCACATAACTCCATATAGGGGGAAAATCACTTTAGATTATTTCCAAAAGCTAAATCAAGATACAATGCTTCATGCTCAAATCTGATCTAATCCCGTTGGCCCTCCAGCAACTCATAGTTTTTGAAACAGAGAAACCCACGATAATTAAATCTGGGAGTAGAGGCGGGGGGAAATAAGGCCATCTCCCCTGGAGATGCGTTCTTCTATTTATTTATTTTAAAGTCATCTTTGGACGCAGCAGGAAATGTGATATTTGGTTGCCTTCCTGTTCCTGGATCCCCAAACTAACTGCGTTATTGAGGGTCATATCGTTAGAGATGCTAATGTAGAGTTTGTGTGTGCGAAGACGCCTCTAGTTTCTCTCCTTTTCGAAACCGTTTTGGTTGGGGGCCCTTCTGAAGTATCTGTAGTTAGGCAGAGTCTTGTTTAGATCCCTCGGGCTGCATTGTTGTCCTTGGATTAGAAAGTATGCGGATTATTTCAAACACTCTGCCTGTTGAGGAATGTCGGATTGTTGATCCCTACGAACTTCATACCCTTTGTTAGCTATGCCCTGCCAGCTTTGGGCCGCGTTTCTGTACAAGCGTTCGATTGTTTGGATGAGAAATGTTTAATTTCTGCAGAAAAAAAAAAGAGGGTGGCATGTCCTCTTTGAGAGCCGACAGCATTCTTCCCTGGTGGAAAAAGTTCTTTTCCTAAAAAAAGATGTTCACCAAATAGGAAACGATCACAATTACTCCTACAAATCGCAATCAACAGATGAAGGTCTGTCCAGGGGTGGGCTTCAAAAATTTTAGCAAGGGGTTTTCTGTCCGGTTGCTGGGTGGGGGTGGCCATGGTGGGCATAGCCTAGTTGGCCTCCTGCACCACAGCTGGGGGAGGGCATTTTTGCCCTCCCCAGGTTCCAAAGGCTTTTCCTGAGCCTCCGGGAGGGCGAAAATGGCCTCCCCAGGCTCCAGAGGCCCTCTGGAGGCTGGAAATGGGCCTGTTTCTGGCCTTCCTGAACTTCTGGTAGTCCCGTTTTTCGCTCTCCCCGAGCCTCTGAGTGCACCCTGCACTTACCTGTATCCAAAACGGGCCGCATGGGGACTCCAGGGAGGGGAGGGGTGGCTTGGCAAATGGGGACTCCGGGGAGGGGAGGGGTTGGCGGGGCCAGCCAGGAGTAGGATTTGGGGGTTCTCCAAACTGCACAGAATCTTAGCTAGAGGTTCTCCCGAAACCCTGGGAACCCCTAGCCGCCTACCCCTGGGTCTCTCTGACCACGGGGAATTGTTAGTAGTCTGGAACAGAGGACCGATCGAACCCGCGGTAGATGTGAGAAAACGCTCTCTCACGAGTTTGGAAACTCGGTTTCCACAGCGTGCTAAACCGTGGTTTGTGATGGGCCAAGCGTGACACACTTAACATGCGAAGCACACACAGCCACATTGTTGCTTGGCAAACGAGTGAAGGCAAGGTTTGGTTTTTGGACGTTGGGATTGAAGTCAAGGCTAGTTCCATTTGAGAAGATCTGCTTTGGGAATATTTGAGAAGAGATTGGAACCAGGTTAACCAAAGTTTTAGCCGAATTTCTTACCTTGGGTGTAGACCTAACTTATCTGTCCCCAAAGGCTGCTGTTTCGGATGATTTGCCTTTGGAAGTTGGTTTGTTTATATTCCACTTTTATTATTTGTATAAATAAGTCAAGGCAGCTAACACACGGAATACTCCTTTCTCCTCCTATTTTCTCCACAACAGCTCTATGAGGTAGAACTCTATGAGGTAGAAAGGTGGAACTATAACTCTCAGCCTCCTGGTGATTGGCCCAAAGTCCCCCAGCTAGCTTTCATGCCTAAGGTGGAACTATAACTCTCAGTCTCCTGGTGATTGGCCTAAAGTCACCCAACCAGCTTTCAATGTCCCAGGACTAGAATTCACAGTTTCCTGGCTTCTACCCTGGTGCCTTAACGACTAGCCCAAACCGGCTCTCACCATTAAGCAATGATTGGGGGTACGAAGTTCAGAGTTTCCTGCCTGCTTAATAAAACCCTTTTTATCTTGCAATTACAGGGATCCGTGAAGAGGAAAGTGGCAGATGACGCGTCTCCAGCCTCCGGCGCCATGCCTGACGTCCTCTTCCCGAGCGAGAGCAAGCGACTTTGTCTTGATGACGTCACTCTTTCCATGGGTCCCGGGACCAATTCTGTTTCATGCCCCGATATGCAAGGCTCTCCATTTTCAACCAATCATGGGACTTCCTCGATGCCCGGACATGGAATGCTCCTTGAAAATAACCACATGAACGGGAGCGGAATTGGCTCTCCATTTTCCGTCCCACCTAATGCTGAAGTTGGGCAAAAAGGGCCTCTCGGGGGCCATTACGGTGAAAAAGGGAGCAACATGCACGCCATGGACCAAGAACTTCAAGATTTGTTGGAAGAGTTGACCAAGATGCCGGACCCTTCTCCCAACGAATTGGACCTTGAGAAGATCTTAGGGAGCAAACCTGAAGAGCCCATGGGGAACTTGTCCCACCCGCCCTCAGCCATGAACAGCTCTTCCAAATCTTCTCCGCAGGCTACCCCCTTGGACAATCACCTCCCCAACAAAGATTTTTCTCCTGGATGCAACCCAAGCGGTGGGTCTCCGCAGATGACGTCTTCTTCTGGAGCCAGCTACTCGGTTCCGTCTCAGAACAAGGCTGTCGCTTCGCCCATTTCTTCAGCCACACCCAACAAGGGTCAAACTCAGGCCATCCACATGCCCGGGACAAACTGGCACGCCCAACAGTTGAAGCACTTAGCCAGCAAGCAAGCTCCAACTTCCAAACCCCCAACTCCAAATTGGCCCACCATATCTTCTCAAGGTCTTTCGCCTCCTTACCGGCAAGGGTCTTCTCCGCACCACCAGCCCTTCAGTCCTCAAAATGTCTTGATCTCCAACATGACTCCGAATGGCCTTCCAGGAAGCAACATTCAGAGTCCGCAGAACCCTCTGCTCTCCAGCATCACATCCAACAGTAACCCACCCGGAGGTCTATCTCCACCTTTTGGGCCAGAGAAGCTCTCCAGTCCGGTCCTCAATCAGCAATCGTTCAGCCCTCCGAATTCCATCATGCCCAACATTTCAGCCAACAGCATTAAGAGTTCTCCCAACCCTTTGGGGCCTCCCAATGCTGGACCTTCACCGTACAGGCCGGAGAAGCTTTCTAGCCCAGCTTTGCACCAACAACCTTTCAGCCCTCAAAGCACCTTGATCTCCAACCCCACACCGACCAGCAACCCCACCAACATGCCAGGTTCCCTCTACAAAGCCATGCCGTCCACCCAGTCCAAGAACATGAATGTCATCATGACACAGTCTTCCAACAGCATCCAAACAGGGTTGGGGAGCGAAGGTCCTGTTGCCCAAGACCAGTTTTCTTTCAGCAATACCAAACCCCTCTCCCATTTCAGTTCAGAGACGACCCCTCCCCAGAAGATGTCGCCGATGGCTTCCACCACGGGGCAACAGTCACTCATGCACTATCTTCAGCAACAAGCTGCAACCTCGCCGCAGTCGCAACAAGTCAACAACAACCAGTTCCTTCAGCAGCAGCTCCGGCAGTTGATGCAACCGTCTCGGATGCAACAACGGCACGTCCAGCCATCCCCGTTGTCATCGCAGGTGCGGCAGGTAAGCTCACAGAAGTGGCTTTTGTCCTTTGTCCACATCCCACAGTCCTTACCTGTTACTGTCTTCTCTCTTTCATCATCACCATCATCTTTTAATGACCCCATAAATCCTTGCGGGGTGGAGTCTGGGCAACTGAATGGAGCTAGCAGAGTATTTACTGGCCGGATGCCCTTCCTGTCACCAGTGCAGAGTTTTGTTCAGCAGATCTATTCTCAGTGTGCCCAGAGGGAGAAATGTCTGCCTCTACCTAGGATTGAACTCGCAGCCTCCTGATTGTGAGGCCAGAGCTCCACCTCTAGGCCACCGCACCACTCTTCTCCGATCTCTTTCATGAAGGGGGCATAAGCTGAAGCTCCAAGGCTTCTGGCAAACTTTGCATGTGTGCGTTGTAAATTTGACTTTTTTGACCCTCCATCCTGCCAACAATCCTGCTTGGCTCCGAGTTCTTTTGGGTGGGGACGTTTGCTGGAAGAGCAGGGATTTGCACCTTCTTGGGGGTCATCATTGCAATAGACTGAAGAGTAGATCCCGGTTTGGTTGCTAGCTTTAAAGCTTCAGTTGAATTTCTCTGTGGCCGTTTTTGGATTTTAATTCTGAGGTTGGTCAAATAAGTTGTTTGGGCTGTCTGTCTGTGTCTCTGTGAAAACTCTTTGAGTCGGAGAAAAAGTAGGCTTCCTCAGTAAACTTGCGTAGGATGTATTTACCTAGAAGGAAGACTTAAGCTACTGTCTCATCTTCGTTTGGGGAAAGCGGTTAGCATTAAAAAAAAAAAAAAAAAGACTGAGCAAACTTCCTTTTTCCAGCTTTGTCCAAATCAGAGACAGCTTCTTTTTAGAGTTGTAAAGTTTTGCTTTGGAGGAGAGAGAAAGGCACCTGGCCAATATCACCTGTTAAGGGCGCTTAAGGCAAAGGTCTGAAGTCAGCAAGCACATCCTCTTGGTTGTAAATGACTCCCAAAACTACGTAGTACCTTAGCTTGATGGGCTTGGGATAGATGGATAGATGGATGGATGGATGGATGGATGGAGGATGGATAGGGATGGATGGGTGGATGAGATAGGATGGATGGATAGATGAGTGGATGGATGGGATAGGATGGATGGATGAGTGAGTGGATGGATGGATGGATGGATGGATGGATGGATGGATGGATGGATGGATGACGGTGGATGGGTGGATGGGATAGGATGGATGAAATATGGATGGGATGGGATGGGATGGGATGGGGATAGGATAGGGGATAGGATAGGGGATAGGATAGGATAGGGTAGGGTAGGGTAGGATAGGATAGGATAGGATAGGATAGGATAGGGGGGGATAGGATAGGATAGGATAGGATAGGATAGGATAGGATAGGATAGGATAGGATAGGATGGATGGAATACTATGCTATGAAGTCAGTGTTGACTCTTAGCAGCCACATAGATGGATTTTCTCCATGATTATCTATCCCCATCTGGTCCTTCAAATCTTCGAGTAACACCACCATCACCACTCCACATCCTTCCTCCTTCCTTCCTTCCTTCCACTTTTCCCAGCCTTACAGCCTTCTCCATAGAGCTGGATCTCCCTATAAGGAGTCCAAAATAGGACAATTTTAAGCCTGGATCACTTTTTGCCCTTCAAGGGAGAACTCAATCCTGGGAATCCGTTTGTCCGTTGCTTATCCGTGGCAAACCATTTCCAAGGTGCGGCCGGGCCGAAGAAAGAAAGATGGTCCCAACCCTCAGAATTAAAGATGAGTTAAAGTCATCGTCATGATCTGATCATCTTTCGTGGAAGGATGTTTCTATTGGCTTTGAAGCTTTGATGCTCTCAAACGCAGAATTGCAGTTAGCTACATAAATGGAAAGAAAAAATAAATAACAGTTGGACCGATAGGGCCAGAAGTGGGAATATTGATTTAAGAGAGTATCCTCATTTCATGCCATCATCAAGTAATGGTCTGTTTAACTAGGTTTTAGTAAAAGTACCATTATGGCCGGATCTATGTAGAGGGCTAAATCAAAGCCACCATGTGTTAGCTTAGTGCTATGTGAATCCAGTTGCTGTTGGGGGCGAGGTCCTAGGAAAATATTCAGCCTGGGTTTCCACGAAGGGTATAGAGTGCCAACCTACAGGGATAATTGTGTATCCTGAGATTAAAAGCGAGCTATTGGGCCCACAACAGTGTGGATACTCACTGACCTGCCAGCTGTAGTTGCAGAAGCCAACTGAAGTAGGAACGAGCAGCTGCTGAGCTGTTTCGGCCTGATGCCGTGATTTTCCTTTCTGTAGGGATCTTGTTACACCAGCAAAGGATCACTGGAGGCGAGTTGGACTTTGCTGGCAAGCAAATGATTAGAGAGGAGAGCCAACTGCTGGGGGAGAGGTTTGTGAGAAGGACTTGAGCGTTGGGTGTAGGACAAATGACTGCATGGCAATTAATCAGAATAGAGCGAGGGAAAAGAAGGACCAGGGGAGACAGGATAGCAGTCTTCCAATATTTGAGGAGCTGCCACAGAGAGGAGGAAGGGGTCGAGCTATTTTTCAAGGCACCCAAAGGCCAGACAAGGAATAAGGGATGGAAACTGATCAAGGAGAGATTCAACCTGGAAATAAGGAGGAATTTTCTGACAGTGAGAACAATCAACCCATGGAACAGAAGTTGCCTTCAGAGGTTGCGGGAGCTTCATCACTGGAGGCTTTCAAGAAGAGACTGGACGGAAATGGTGTAGGGTCTCCTGCTTGGGTGGAGTAGATGACCTACAAGATCCCTTCCAACTCTGTTAATCTGCTAAAGATATAAACTTGTGAGCTGGCAGGGACCTTGGAGGTCTTCTAGTCCAACCCCCTGCTCAAGCCGGAGACCCTATACATTTTGAGACAAGTGGCTGTCCAGTCTCTTCCTTGACATATGTCCAATCGCTTAACAACGGAAGTTACAACGGACAAAAGGGACGTAGAACCGAGTCCCAATGTTCTGATACACCCTCCCCCACAGTCATGTGACTGCATTATGGACACTCCGCAACATTTACGGTCATTTTTGCAGTGTCTGTGGTCCCCATTTTATGACGTTTTCACCAAAAACCGGGGTTTACTTCCGGTTTTCAGCAAAAACGCCCCATCTCAAACAAGCGTGGCTTAACAAGCGTGGTGATTCGCTTAATAACCGCTGCAAAAGAAGGTTGTAAAATCACGTGCAGCACTAGTTGCGACCGTCACGACTTAATGATGGGCGGGCTCCATTACGGTTGTAAGTCGAGGACTTAACTGTATCGTGAGAGCGAAACGTCAGGGGTTAATGATTGATTTAACCATCTCTCTGAACCCAAAGGGCCTTTTTTACCCCAAGAGGCGACAGGACTTTCTGGATTTTTTTTTTCTTTGAAGACATTTTGCTTCTCACCCAAGAAGCTTCCTCAGCTCTGAGAGAAGCTGAAGAAGCTTCTGAGAGAAGCTGAGGAAGCTTCTTGGATGAGAAGCAAAACCTCTTCAGAGAAAAACCAGCAAGTCCAGTTGCCTCTTGAGGGGGAAAAAAGCCCCTTTGGGACAACCATGTCCTGGATGACTGAGCATCTCCATCGACGTATCTCTCTGAATGCATTTGGCCGGCTGGGGAATTCTGGGAGTTGTAGTCCACACAGGTGTTAAAATTGCCAAGGATGCTACAGAGAAAAAAGGGGGGGGGGAGAAATCGAGTGCTTGAAGGCTGGAGGATTTATGGTACCTTCTGTTTGGGAATAAAGATTCCATTTATTTCCTTTTCTCAATTTCCTCTATTTATCCTGGTGCAGGTGCAGGAATGTTTTCTCCGAACAATAAAAGCTTCAAGTCTATTGTGATGATAAATACGAGCACTGAGAATATTTGCATTTTTCAAATCAGTTCAGTAAACTGTAGATGCCTGGCTGGTGCTTTTTTTAAAAAAATTTTTTAACTAGGGAAGACTTATAATGTTAATTATGTCATAAATGACAGGCCTGCTCTGGATTTTATATCGTCGCTTAAGCCATCTCTGAATAACAAGCCAGTAAAGGATTCAGGGCGATTCTTTTAAAGAGCTTTAATGACATTTATCGCAAAGTGGGCATTCCAAGGAAGATCCCTAAAACAAACTATAGAGAGATAAGTAGATTATCGCCATTCTGGTGGTGCTAACAAGTTTTCCTTCCGATGGTTCTGTTTTCTTGAGAAGGAAGATTGATTAATCCCTGGGGAGAAGAAATCATCTAATTATTCATATGTCCGATACGAGTTTTTACTGATTTTTTAAGAAAAAGGAGAGGCTTTTTCTTAAGGGAACTTTATCAGAGTTTCTTGCAAACATCAAATCCAGAAGCACACACAGATAACTGATTCAAAGCAGGATTCATTAAATAAGAAACTTCTTTATATGCAAGAATATATATCAGAGGTGGGTTTCAGCAGGTTCTGACCAGTTCTGAAGAACCGGTAGTGGAAATTTTGAGTAGTTCGGAGAACCGGTAGTAAAAATTCTGACTGGCCCCACCCCCATCCCATTCTATGCCTCCTGAGTCCCAGCTGATCGGGAGGAAATGGGGATTTTGCAGTAACTTTCCCCTGGATTGGGGAGGGAATGGAGATTTTACAGTATCCTTCCCATGCCACACCCACCAAGCCATGCCATGCCCACCATGCCACACCCACAGAATTGGTAGTAAAAAAATTTGAATACCAACAGCAGAGGACAGTCATTTCAGTCAGCATGCATAGTCTGCTTAGTTTCAGTTTCAATTCTTTGCACAGATTCAGAAGCTGCAGACTAAGACATGCCCTGGCTCCATCTGTCTCAGCTCCCAATTGGCTGACTTAGTTGCTATGCCTATTCATTGGCTGACCTTGTTACCATGTCTCTGCCAGTTCATGAATAATCTGACAAAACGTCATAGAGAAAAATCCTGATTTAATCAAGAGAGTCCATCGAGACTATCTGATTTTGCTTCGTTTTCATGAAAGTGAAGCAGGGTTGAAATCTGGTTATTTACCTGGTTGGG